TAAAGAGTCAGACACGACAGAGCATAGCACAGTCTCGACAGCTAGTTACACACACACACACACACTTACTGGGATTTTAAAATTAGAATTGTCTTGAATTTATAGGTTAATTTGGGGGAAGAATTTATATCTTTGTAATACTGGGTGTTCCCATTCCAGCTGCATAGTATGACTAGTCATGTCTGTTATCTTCTCATGTAAAGTTTTCTAGTTTTACTATTGTTGGATGAGGAACAGATTAGCTTCTGGTGCCATGCTACTTGGGCTCAGTCCCTGCTAAACTTAGGCAAATAAAAATCCTTTTTTGTGTGCTTTAGTTTCCTCATCCGTAAATTGCGAATAATAACTCATTAGGGTTATTATGAAGATTAAATGGATTAAGACATATAAGTTAATACATAAAATGTGAGTGGTTATTAGATATATATTTATAGTTTCTTTTGCTTTTGTGAATAGAACCTTTTACTTAAATCTCATTTTAATTGGTTAGCTTTGGTTTATAGGAAATTCGTGATTTTTTTTTTTTTTATGGTTCTTGATTTTGGATGCTTTGCTGAACATTTTAGTACTACACTCATTTTTTAAAAATTCTGTTGCATTCTGTAGCTAATCTGTAGCTACTTTTGTAGTGAATTGTTTTAGCTTTCAATATTTTGGCCTTATAGTTCTTTCTTGTTTATTTATATTGTGGATTTGTTTTCGTTTGCTACGACTTCTAATACAGTGTTGACTAGAAGTGATGATGAAGAGCATTTTGTCCATGACTGTCTTTAAATGGATTTGGTGTTTGATTTATAGAAGTTAATTCTCTCTCGAGTTTAACCCTTAGAAGTTAATTCAAGCTAAGGGTTGTATGTGTTTGTGTGTGTATTTAATTTGTTAAGGAGTGGGTTTTGGATTTTCATTAAATTATTTTTATTATACAAACAATGAGTGTATATTATTACAAAAGATTGAAAAATATGTAAAAATTATAGTGTAAAGCATGAAAGTTCTTGTATCTTGTTCTAATTTTATTCTCTCTCCATATATGTTATTATTGGTTTGTGTCCTTTTAGTTCTGTAGCTACTCCTTTATGTACATTTAGGGCTTCCCAACTTCCCTGGTGGCTCAGATGGTAAAAGCATCTGCCTATAATGTGGGAGACCCGGGTTCAATCCCTGAATTGGGAAGATCCCCTGGAGAAGGCAATGGCAACCCACTCCGGTACTCTTGCCTGGAAAAATCCCATGGACAGAGAAGCCTACAGTCCATGGGATCGCAGAGTTGGACACGACTGAGCTATTTCACTTTCACTTTCATAGCCCAGTTGGTAAAGAATCCATGCCTGCAATGCAGGTGACCCTGGTTTGATTCCTGGGTCGGGAAGATCCCCTGGAGAAAGGGAAGGTTACTCACTGTAGTATTCTTGGGCTTCCCTTGTGGCTCAGCTGGTAAAGAATCTTCCCACAGTATGGGAGACTTGGGTTTGATCTCTGGGTTGGGAAGATCCCCTGGAGAAGGGAAAGGCTACCCACTCTGGTATTCTGGCCTGGAGAATTCCATGGACTGTATAGTCCCTGGGGTTGCAAAGAGTTGGACATGACTGAGCGACTTTCACTAGCTTCACTTAACGTACATTTAATGTATATTTGTGTACATTTTATGTGTATGTGTGTACACATTTTTATTTATTTTACAGAACTACTGATATTTTGTTTCACTAGCATATTAAATACCTGTTATGTATCAGGCCCCCTTTAGGCATTGGCATTCTTCTGCTCATTCAGCAAATGTTTCTTAAATGTTTCCTAAATGCCAGGCAGTGTCTTAGGTGCTGGAAATATAGCTATGAAGAAAAAGAAAAGCCTGTCCTCAGACCTAACCTTCTAAAGGTGCAGACAGAAAATTAAAAAACAAAACAAAACCAAAACCAGAAAAAAGGGATGATAAATGATATGAAAAAAAGTTAAAACAGGATAAAAGAGGATAGGGATTGTTGTTCAGTCACTGAGTCCTGTCTGACTTTTTGACCCTGTGAACTGCAGCACACCAGGCTTTCCTGTCCTTCACTATCTCCCTGAGTTTGCTCCAATTCATGTCCATTGTGTTGATGATGCCATCTGACCACCTCATTCACTGTCACCCCCTTCTCTTACACTGGATATTTTCCAGCATTAGGATCTTTTCCATTGAGTCAGCTCTTTGCATCAGGTGGCCAAAGTATTGAGCTTCAACTTCAGCATCAGTCCTTCCAATGAATATTCAGGGTTGATTGCCTTTAGGATGGACTGATTTGATCTTGCAGTCCAAGGGACTCTTAAGAGTCTTCTCCAACACCACAATTTGAAAGCATCAATTTTTTGGCACTCAGCCTTCTTTGTGGTCCACCTCTTGTATTGGCATATGATTACTGGAAAAATCATCGTTTTGACTGTGCAGACCTTTTTCAGCAAAGTGATGTCTCTGCTTTCTAACACACTAAGCTTGTCATTGCTTTTCTTCCAAGGAGCAAGTGTCCTTTAATTTCGTAGTTGCAGTCACCATCCACAGTGATTTTGGAGTCCAAGAAAATAAAATCTGTCACTGTTTCCACTTTTCACACATCTATTTGCTGTGAAGTGATGAGACTGGATGTCATGACCTTCGTTTTTTGAATGTTGAGCTTTAAGCCAGCTTTTTCACTCTTCTCTTTCACCCTCATCAAGAGGCTCTGTAGTTCCTCTTTGCTTTCTGCTGTGAGAGTGGTGTCATCTGCATATCTGAGGTTGTTGATATTTCTCCCAGCCATCTTAATTCTAGCTTGTGAGTCATCCAACCTTGCATTTTACATGGTATACTCTGCTTATAAGTTAAGTAAACAAAATGATAATATACAGCCTGTTGTACTCCTTTCCCAGTTTTGAACTAGTCTGTTGTTCCCATGTAAGGTTCTAACTATTGCTTTTTGTCCTGCATCCAGATTTCTTAAGAGACAGGTAAAGTGGTCTGATATTTCCATCTTTTTAAGAATTTTCCAGTTTGTTGTGATCCACCCATTCAACAGCTTTAGCGTAGACAATGAAGCAGATGTTTTCCTGGAATTCCCTTGCTTTTTCTATGATCCAGTGGATGTTGGCAGTTTGATCTCTGGTTCCTGTGCCCTTTCTAAATCCAGCTTGTACATCTGGAAGTTCTTGGATCACGTACTATTGAAACCTAACTTGAAGGATTTTGAGCATTACCTTGCTAGCATGTGAAATGCGTGCAATTGTGCGGTAGTTTGAACATTCTTTGGCATTGCCTTTCTTTGGGATTGGAATGAAAACTGACCCTTTTCAGTCCTGTGGCCACTGCTGAGTTTTCCAAATTTGCTGGCATATTGAGTTCAGCTCTTTAACAGCATCATCTTTTAGGATTTGAAATAGCTCAACTGGAATTCTATCACCTCCACAAACTTTGTTTGTAGTGATGCTTCCTAAGTCCCACTTGACTTTGCACTCCAGGTTGTCTGGCTCTAGGTGAGTGATCACACCATTGTGGTTATCTGGGTCGTGAAGATCTTTTTTGTATAGTTCTTCTGTGTATTCTTGCCACCTCCTCTTAATCTCTTCTGCTTCTGTTAGGTCCATACCATTTCTGTTCTTTATTGTGCCCATCTTTGCATGAACTATTCCCTTGGTGTCTCTGATCTTCTTGAAGAGATCTCTAATTTTTCCCATTCTGTTGTTTTCCTCTGTTTCTTTGCATTGATCACTGAGGAAGACTTTCTTATCTCTCATTGCTATTCTTTGGAACTCTGCATTGGATGGGTGTTTTTTTTTTTTCTCCTTTGTCTTTAGCTTCTCTTCTTTTGTCAGCTATTTGTAAGGCCTCGCCAGACAACCATTTTGCCTTTTTGCGTTTCTGTTTCTTGGGGGTGGTGTTGAACACCGTCTCCTGTACAATGCCACAAACCTCCATCCATAGTTCTTCAGGCACTCTATCATATCTAATCCCTTGAATCTATTTGTCACTTCCACCGTAAAATCATAAGGGATTTCATTTAGCTCATACCTGAATGGTGTAGTGGTTTTCTCTACTTTTTTCAATTTAAGTCTGAGTCTGGCAATAAGGAGTTCTTGATCTGAGCCACAGTCAGCTCCCGGTCTTGTTTTTGCTGACTGTATAGAGCTTCTCCATCTTTGGCTACAAAGAGTATAATCAGGTTGATTTCAGTATTGACCATCTGGTGATGTCCATGTGTAGAGTCTTCTCTTGTGTTGTTGGAAGAGGGTGTTTGCCATGACCAGTGCATTCTCTTGGCAAAACTCTGTTAGCCTTTGCTCTGCTTCATTTTGTGCTCCAAGGTCAAATTTGCCTGTTACTCCAGGTATCTCTTGACTTGCTACTTTTGCATTACAGTTCCCTATGATGAAAAGGACATTGTTTTGGGGTGTTACTTCTAGAAGATCTTGTAGGTCTTCATAGAACCATTCAGCTTCTTCAGCATTACTGGTTGGGGCATAGATTTGGATTACTGTGATATTGAATGGTTTGCCTTGGAAAAGAACAGCGATCATTCTGTCATTTTTGAGATTGCACCCAAATACTGCATTTTGGACTCTTTGTTGACATGAGGGCTACTCCATTTCTTCTAAGAAATTCTTGCCCACAGTAGTAGATATAATGGTCATCTCAATTAAATTCACCCATTCCAGTCCATTTTAGTTTTCTGATTCCTAAAATGTCTATGTTCACTCTTGCCATCTCCTGTTTGACCACTTCCAGTTTACCTTGATTCACGAACCTAACGTACCAGGTTCCTATGCAGTATTGCTCTTTACAGCATCAAATTTGACTTCCATCACCAGTCACATCCACAACTGGGTGTTGTTTTCACTTTGGCTCCGTCTCATCTTTCTTTCTGGAGTTATTTCTCCACAGCTCTCCAGTAGCATATTGGGCACCTACTGACCTGAGGAGTTCATCTTCCAGTGTCATAGTATAATGAATAGCTGAGTTGAATATTTTGTGATTTTTTTCATTTTTTATTTTTCAGGTACATCAAATTACAAAATGGCTTGCAGGCACTTTTGATTTCAGACCTAAGTAATATGGAAGGTAAAATGGGTGATGCAACAGATGATGAAGAGGAAGATGAGGAAGAAGAAGAAGATGATGATGATGATGATGATGATGACGATGATGATGAAGATTCTGGAGCAGAAATAGAAGATGATGATGAAGAAGGTTTTGATGATGAAGATGAGTTTGATGATGATGATGAAGAACATGATGATGATCTTGATGCTGAGGATAATGAGTTGGAAGAATTAGAAGAGAGGGCAGAAGCTAGAAAGAAAACCACTGAAAAACAGGTGTGAGTCATGTCTGTTACATCTTTTTCTAATTTGGGAATTCTTTGTGATAAGTTCCAAATTTATGTATTGTGTCTTACTGGCAAATAAGAAGTATTTACTGATCTTCAGTAAAGGAATATTTATTCTATGTAAAGATTACATTAAAAAAAAACATTTTCCTCTAGGGACTTCCTTGGTGGTCCAGTAATTAGCAGTGGTTAAGACTCTCCGTTTCAAATACTGTGAGCCTGGGTTTGATCCCTAGTCGGGGAACTAAGATCCCTCCTGCCAGATGGTGTGGCCAAAAAATTTAAGGAAAAAAAGCTTCTTTTTGCTCTATTATAAAAGTGACAAATGCTCACTATAGAAGCTAATGGAAAATAAAAACAGAAATATAAAAGTTGCCCATAACCATAACTCCCAGAGATAATCACTGGGAGTATTTGACTGCATGTTTTCAAAACAAATGCCTGGAGCTGTGAATCTGCAAAGTTCTTAGCATGGGATAGAGGAATAAGAGAATGTATTATCCTTGGAGAGACTGGATAAAGCATAAGAGAAGAACAAGTATAGTGTAGAATTCTTACATAGGCTTGTGTTTCTGAGAATCCTCATCGGTAATTTCTATGTAAGTAACTGAATGTGATTTGTATTTTTATGGGGAAGCATCAGTGGTCCAAATAATTAATAAGTAAATTGGAAGAATTGAAATAGAAATGGGGAGTTGAGCTTAGTTAGTGGAATATATTAATAACAGTAGGTGAATAGATAAGTACTGGTTAATAGAAATAATGTTCCTCTCTGGATATTTTTTGAAGAATGCTTCCATTTTGAAGTAGAAAATATCTACATTGTAGTATAATATTCTGGAGCCATTATAGTAGAATTGACCAGCAAATGTTTGTTAAAACTAGTATCTTAAATATTGGTAATATATTCAACATGGTACCATTCTCAAAAAAATGAATTAAAGTTCAGATTATTAACACTAAAATCTAAAAGATCACATGTATAACACTATAAAATCAGCCTTCAAAATGTGACAGTTTGAAATGTAAGTAGTAGGTATGTCTTAGATAAATTAATAGGTACTCTTCCTGGAAAAAAAAATTTTTTTAAAGAAGATTGTGCCAGTTGTTTCACTTAGGTGTTGGAGGGATTGAGTCATGTTTAAAGCAGCTATTCCCTCTTGCTATTCAGATTATAATTGACGCCTGTTTTGGCAGAGCAGGATAGGCCAAGTGATTTTAGCTTGGAAGGCTTTATGGATAAAAACAAAAACACCAGGGAAAAAAGTATATATATGTAGATAGTCTGTCGTCTTTATAGTCTATACTAAAGTCTTTATAAATAAATCAGGAGTTAATGAACTCACTTTTAATTTAAAATAGATCTTGTAATTTCAAATAGAGAAATAATAGAAGGGAAGAAATAAGTGAGAAGAACAGTGATAGTTAGGAAACCTGAATTCTAATTCTGAGATTGCCATTATCTTTACAAATGATCTTAGACCTTTTCATTTTCTCATTTTCCCCCCTCATTTATGAAACAAGAGATTTAGGTTACATACATTTTGAAGTCCATTTTAGCTCCAGACATACTGTGTTATAACTTCATAACTGAATATTCCTGGTTTATAAACTTCTTCCTGTATCTCTGTTAATAGCTTTTCCTGTATTTTGGACTTCTTCATACCCTCTATCAATTGACAAGCAAAACTCTAGGATTAAGTTAAAAATTTTTTTGATAGCCAATTTTATTGTCAAAATGTAATAAAATATTTTAGATTTATATAGCAATTGTGAACCTGTTTGACAAAAGAAGATGTGCATCCAGTATTTTGGGTACCCCTTTTTATTTTGCTTACTATGTACATCAAACTCTAAATGTTACCTTGTCTAGAAGCAGCAGGGTCAGATTCTAGTGATCATTTAAAAAATAGCTTAGATGCTGCCTGTCTTTTCTGAGAACTTGGTATGATATATTCCCTCTTAAGATACTGATAACTGGTTTTCTGGATTTTAGAAAGGAATGGAGGAGGTTAGTGCAGTTTGAAGACGAGATCAAATTGTTTTATGCTGTGGGTACACTAGTGAAAGGAAAGATCCCATGATTGTAGTCATGGAAAATTATTTCTATTCACTGAATGAATAAATGCCTACAAAAGGTAAATAAAGTAGATAGTCTAGATAAGAGGTGGCTTAAGAGTAGTATAGGATTTTGCAGTGGTTTTATGATTTTTTATTTGAAAAACGTGAACTGTTTAAGATGAATATGTGAATGTGTAAGGATAGTAGGAAGAAAATTTTTTGAGGTTTTTGGAGAACATTTACCTAATTAGGAAGTTGGCTACTCTTTCGAATCATCGTTTTTATCCACCTCCACTTTCTTTCTCCCAGAGGGAAGTTCTTGATCTTAAAGTTTTGATTAAAACAATTTTTTTTGATAAATTAACAAGATTGGAATTTAAGTATGATATATGCTGAATTATGATTTGTTCAAGGCTTTCTTAAATCAAGTCTCAAGTATGAATTTCTCAAGTATGAATTTTTTGGATAGATAATTCTCAAGTATGAATTTCTTTTCTAGCAATTGCAGAGCCTGTTTTTGCTGTGGTCAAAGCTGACTGATAAACTGTGGTTTAAGTCAACTTATACAAAAATGTCTTCAACCCTGCTGTTCAAGACAAGAAATCTTAATGGGGTAGTTGGAGCTGAAAGCAGGTTAGGCATCTATTAAACACATCACAGAACCCATTAGACTGTGCTTTGAAGAAGTGGATATTCCCTCATGTTTTAACTGAGTTTATGTGTCTGCGTCTTAAATAAGGGATTTATGAGTATTAAGTGAGGCTGTTTGGTTCTTCCAAAAACGTAAACCCCCGCCCCCCTGCCAACATATGGTTAGACTTTTTACCAGGTGTACACTATTTTTTTAAAAAGCCTTCTAAGAGGATAACCATTTATCAGAATAGTCTGTGTCATCAAATGTGTTAGCCCTTTAAAATTGACGTTTGTAAAATTTGGGAAAGTTAATAATTCAGCTTTCTGTCCTTAAGGATTCAAATTGACTATTTTTTTCTCCTTTTTTGTGTCTTTTAACTTACTTTGATATAATGTTTGCCCTGATCATTTTAAATGCAGAATTTGGTATACCTCCTGACCATGTATTTTGTTGCAAATTGATTTTCCCAAAGTACTGGGAAAATGTCAACCAATAAGTAATGTATTTTTTTTTAAGTAATTATTTTTTATACCTTAAATAAGAAGTGAAGAACTAAAAAGCCTCTTTAAAGTTTAGTTCTGTAGTTCTTTAAAGATTTTTTAATAACCGTTAATTTATTATCTTCGTTAGATGTTTTCCTGACTTGTTATCTTATACCCTGTTTTAATAAAAACAATATTTTCTGAGTGACATATTGAGAAGTTTCCATCTAGTAACTTGAATTAACAAACACAGAGCCTTTAATTGTTTAGAGATCTTTCCAGAAAATTTCCTCAGATATATTACTTCTGCAGATTTCTGAAATCTGGTTAATCAGGAAACAAACTTGGTTCAGAACTTTGAAATGCTGACACAAAGTGATACTTGGGTGGGCTGGCCAGTCCCCCTTGGCTTTTTTTTCTGTCTGTTTCTGCTTTTTCCCTTAGGTCTGCACCTGTTCAGCATTTTGCAGGATGGCAAGAGGAGGAGCAGCAGGGTGAAACTGACACAGTTCTGGTGAGTTTCACTTTGCTGCTCCTCCTGATTCTTAGGGAAAAAATTCTGTTACTTTCTATTGGATAAGGTCCATCTCCAAGTGAATCCTTAAAATGAGATGACATCATTATTCCTGTAGGATTGACTCTCTATCTGTATGTGTTCTACTTACTCCAGTCTGCAGCGGCTCTTTGTGTTGGAGTTGGGAGTTTTGCTGATCCAGATGACCTGCCCGGGCTGGCACACTTTTTGGAACACAGTAAGATCTTTGTAAAATATTCTCGGGTGTGCTTTTACCTTCAAATTTGTAAGAATTGATTTCAATTTAAGTAACTGGTTTGATAGGATCGTGATAATGTTTAATAAGAGAAAAACTAAGAAAAAAAAATCTTAGTGAATACCATAGGGAAAGACTTAATTTTAATCTTGAGTGTACTTGTTTTGAGGATTAAAGTGAAACTGCTTAGAAAACTATGTTAAAATTTAAGTAAGTCTTATTATTCAGGTACACTAAGGCCAACCAGTCAGGAGGAAATTGCTAATCTTGAGGAGTTTAGACTGTCATCTTGGGAGGGGCAGTTCCTTCTAGGGTTGGCAAGGCCTCAAGATGTCAAAGCATTAGAAATACAGAAAAATAAAAAGGCACGATTAATATCAAAGCAAAACAGTAAATCTTCAGTGTAATTATTAATGTACCCGAGTAAAACCTTTGTGAATGCTATCCAGTTATGAACTCTTGAATTACTACCTCTTTGTATTCTAGTTTTCTAAGCTACTCAAGGGTGAATTTCTTACCTTATGAGTTTTTATAGTATAAATTAGTTGGCATATATGTCAGTTTACATTTTAACCTTTTACAAATAAATTACATATTTCATTAAAAATGTTTAGTTTTTGAATTTAAAAGTTATATATGAGCATTATAGAAAGTTAAAAAAACAGAAGTACTATGAAGAAAATAAGTATTATCCATATGTAACCATTGTTGGCATATTTTATACCAGTTTTTTTTGAAACTTCATCCTTGTTAATAAAAACATTGTCTGTGTCTTTGTGTTTTGTGACTTTGTATTCTTTTCACTTAGTGGTATTCATGGGTAGCTTGAAATATCCAGATGAGAATGGATTTGATGCCTTCCTGAAGAAACATGGGGGCAGTGATAATGCTTCAACTGATTGTGAACGTACAGTCTTTCAGTTTGATGTCCAGAGGAAGTCCTTCAAAGAAGCCCTGGATAGGTAAATAACCCAAAATATATTTTTATTTTGATTATCTGGTGCCATCTTACAACTGGCAGTGTTGGGCATTTTTCTGTGGTATTTCTTTTCCAGCAGTACTCTTAATTCTGTAGGATTATCAACCATACTTTATTTGGAGATATACCTTGGCTCTTGTTCTGTATACCTTAGTCTTTGTATTAAAGATTAAATTGAAACCATTTAAACATCTTTTGAATTTTGTAAATAATGTAGTCTCTATTGACTCATTATTGCAATTATTATTTTCTAATTTAGTGTAAAATATGGAAAACAGAGAAGGGAAAAAGAGGTAAGATTGCTCTCAATTTCATAATCTAGATATAACCATGATTGATATTGTGGAATGTAGCCACCTATATTTGTAACATATATGGGATCAGCTTATTCATATCTTTTCATATTTTTAAAACAAGATTTATCACATTTGCATATTGTTTTATAATTTACAAAACATGACTAAGTAATTTTGGATCTGTTTAGCCATTCACATATTATTGGACAGTTGAAATATTTTCAGTTTTCTGGTACTATGATGCTATAGTGAATATTCTATTTGTGTACATCCTTAATCATTTCCTTTTGCTAAGTTCTGAGGAGTGAAATTTCTGAGTGTATTTGCATGGATTTTTTAAAATTTTTTTAAAAAGAGCTTTTGATCCTCAAAGTTATCTTCTCAAAAGTTTGTCAGGGCATTAATAGAGCTTTGATATAGCAAGGTTGTAAGGCAAAGCATACAGTAGTAAAAAGAAGTAACTTTATACCAAAATCTAGATAAATACAAGATTGAAATACTAAGAAAGAAAGAAATAATCGAGTTTGACCAGTATAATGTAAAGTCTGATGGCAGTTTTTTGGTCCATTTTTCGTTGGTTATCTCTAGTATCAAGAATCTGGCAGATACCTATTTGAGATGTCTTGAATGAATTAATACAGATTTCTTTAAATATAAAAAAATGCCATAAAATCAAAACACAAATGACAAAAAAATTTCTCAAAACATGACAGTGGTCAAGTTTTCTTAAATTGTCTCATCCCTTAAGAATTAATTTGACCCTGAGAAAACTTTTGGGTAAGTTCCTGTAAGTTGAAAGAATATGGCATTATTTTCAAGGAAATAAATATTTGTCTGTTCTTGAACCCCCAAGTTAACAGCTTTTCCACTAAAACAGTGCCAAAATCCCATTAAAATTGACATAATTACTTTGATGACAGTGTTTATAATAGGATACAACATAGTGGTTTTTCTTCTTTAATCTGAAATATGGCTCTCTACTTTGTATTCAGTGAAATAGTTTATAGCTCTTTTTAATTGCATACTTAAGGATATGCTCACAGCACATATATTTGATATCAGTGTTTATCTAATTAAACATTTAATTCCAAAATAACAAACAAAAGAATAGAGACAAAAGAAGTTAATCAAGCAGTGCAAATGAGGCCCAAATTTATCTTTTTTATAAACTTAGAAAATCAGGAATACTCTTTAGGGTGACTGCGTGTTTGCTTTTGTTTCAAAGTTTTCAACTCCCAAGTTTTACAGCATGTTAAGAAAACTTAAGCAGTAGACAAATTGAATACTCATAAATAAACACATTTCATTGGAAAAAAAGAATAGGCAAAGGATATGTTGAAAAAATTACGACCACCTCAGAGATAATGAAATTGCTATAAAGTCTAGTTAAAGAACTTGTTTCATTTCTTCTTAAGAAATTCTGTACATTTTTAATCTAAAGAGTACTTCAGGAAATCCAAAGATATTTGCACATTTATTACGGATTATTTCTACTTAAAAAACTGTCAGAATTAATAAGAAGAATGCTACTGCCTAATCGAAGAAATTATTAAGAATATCAGGCCATGAATTTATGCCATAAATGGTAGACAGTGGTAGAGCATTAAGCATTGCATATTCTATAATACATATGATAATTATTATATTTCTACAGTTAATATGACTTCTTTGGTGGCTCAGACAGTAAAGCGTCTGCCTACAATGTGGGAGACCAGGGTTCAGTCCCTGGGTTGGGAAGATCTCCTGGAGAAGGAAATGGCAGTCCACTCCAGTATTCTTGCCTGGAAAAATCCCATGGACGGAGGAGCCCCGTAGGCTACGTCCATGGGCTCGCAGAGTCGGACACGACTGAGCGACTTCACTTTAACTTTTTCACAGTTAATGTGAAATAAAAAGTCTTTGGATAATTTGCAAAAGACTCTTACGTAGCATGGATTTAGTGTGTCTATTTTTTAATAGGTCAGTAAAATCTAGCTTCCTCACAGGTCATATTGTTCAGTATCTTGAATCATTTAAGTAAAAAGTTGAGGAAATAACTGAATTTTTACTCTATTAAGTAAATGAGAATGAAAGCTGCTTTTACCCTGGTGGCCTTTGCTAATTTCAATAAATTTGAACTTTAGTTTATCAGTATTTCAGGGCAAGAAGAAGATTTATCAAAGTCCAGGAAGTTCACAAAGTGGGATATTTAATAGGAGACTCTTCTCATGATAAATTGGGACTTCAGAAGGCATCACCCTTAGGCTGAGGAAATGGATTAGCCATCCTGAGGAGTTACAGACTACTTTGAAAAATGCCTATGTTGTCTAGTGAACCTTAAGCCTTGAATATAGTTTAACATGGTCCAGAACTGGTAGTGTTCTCTGATGCCCAAGAGAGGCAAAAACAAACCCTCTCAAAAAGAAAATACCTTTGTTTTATCTACTCTCAAGTAGAGTGACCAGCATTCAGTCAAACATAAGCAGACATGCAACAAAATAAGACAATATGAATGAGAACAGGAAACAGAAAAGGACTTAATGCCTTAGAAATCTTAGAGATTGGCGTGGTTAAGTATTACAAAGATGATTCGTTTTTACAGAAATAAGGGACAAGTTAGAATACAGTTGTAAGTCATAGAAAACTCTAAAATGTGACCTATGAGATTTGAAATATAAAAAGTAAGAAAGGGCATTGTGAATTGAGACATGATAATTGAAATTTAAACCATGGATAGGTTTAAGAGAGGAGTACATATAGATGATGTTAGGATTTGTGAATTGAAAGATAGACCAAGAGAAATCCCAAATACAGTGTGAAGAGAAAAAAAATGAAAGATACAGAAAAAAGGAAAAGTAGCATAGAGAATAGAGTGAAAATGTCCAATATATATATACCTAGAGAACTAGAAGAAGAAGAGAAAAAATTAATACAAAATATTTGAAGGGTTGATCACTGGAAAATTTCTAGAACATCAAATCAGAGGGTAAAAAAGTCTAACAAATTCCAAAAGTATATATTAAAAGAAATCCACATGTAGAAAGTTATAGTGACTATAGAAGACCAAATATAGAAAATCTTTGCCAGATGAAAGGTCAGAAGTTCTTTAAAGTCATGTTAGTTAGTCTGATGGCTTTTTCAGCAGCAGTAGTGGAAACTCAATGACAGTAGAATATTTGTAATAGCCTGAAAGAAAATAACCACCAACTACAAATTCTACACCAAGCAAAAAATATCTTGTAAGAATGATTGTAAAATAGACCTTTAGACACACAGTTGAGTGTGCATGCCACCAGCTTACCAAAGAAAATTCTAAAGAATTTATTTCAGGCAGAAGGAGAATACAAATCAGAGCTGCAAAAATGATAGTGAGGCAATGAAAGTCATTTTATATGAATAATATAAATGAGCATTGATTATTTAAAACAGTAATTATGAAACTTAAAAGTATACAGAGTTAAAACAACAACAATTATCAGGAATAATGCTAAATGGAGAAAAAGGTATTTTTATAAGATGAATATTAGACTTTGATAAGTTAAAAGGATACATGTAATATTTTTAAGGGTAACTGCTGAAAGAACATAGTTTGGGCATAAAAATTCCAAACCAGTAGAAGGAAAACGTTTGGAATAAGTCTCTCAAATAAATTCAAAGAAGAAAACTGTAGTAGGAGGGATAGAACAAGTGCGACAAGCAGGACAAAGGAGGATGGAGGTAGATGTACATCCATATGTAACAGTAATTCTTATTAAATATGAGTGGATTAACTTCCAGTTAAAAGATAAACATCAGACTGGATTTAAAAAGCCTAATCAAATAGTTTTTAAGACTTCTATATCTAGGGCTTGGGAGGGGTTCCCTGGCAGCTCAGATGGTAAAAGAATCTTCTTGCAACACAGGAGACCTGGGTTTGATCCCTGGGTTGGGAAGATCCCCTGGAGAACGGAATGGCAACCCACTCCAGCAGTCTTGCATGGAAAATTCTATGGACAGAGAAGTCTGGCAAGCCACAGTCCATGGGGTTGCAAAGAGTCGGACATGACTGAGTGACTAGTACATGTAGTAAGTCTTTGAAAAAAAAGTGTTGCTCAAGAGGCTCATGTCATATTGATAAAACTTAACAAGGAAGACATGATTGTTTCCAGTCTGAACTCATCTGATAGCATAGCCTCAAAGTAAATCAGATGTAAAGACCAAAGAATAAGTAAACAACTGCAATGGAAGATTTAACATCCCTTTCTCAGTATTTGATAGAATAACTGTAAAATCAGTAAGAACTTGGAAGAGTAGGACAAAAAGATTACCACTTAAATCCTTAATCAACACCTTCCAGCTACAAAATTTTTTCATTTGAGTATATTTTAAGCCACAAATCAGTCTCAAATTTCAAAGCATTGAAACCATATTGTTAATGATTGTGTTTTCTAATCACAGTGTGTGTACAGTTAAATTTTAGCTAGAAATCAGTAACAGACAACTAGAATATTACCTTATGTTTGGAAATTAAATACATTTCTAAGGAATACCTGGGTAAAGAGGAAAGCATATCAGAAATTAGAATATATTTTGTATTGAATTATAAAAATATTACAGAATAAAAGTTGTGGGATGCAGCTGTAATCGTTCTTAGAGGTAAATAAATACTTTTAAATGTGTATTCTGTCAGCTTCCCTCATGACTCAGTCAGTTAAGAATCTGCCTGCAA